ATGAATATTCGTATGTGTGTATATGTGTAGGCTACTAGATGATTTTTTGAACAAAGAGATAACGTTTGTGCATGTGTACTTCTCCGCCGCATGTTCCCCTTCATTTCTTTTTTTATACATTAAAAGAAGCAAAGGTCTGACGAAAGTGTGAAAGAGTATTGTATACGTTCGCTACACCTTCGTCACACTCTCGCTATACTTTCAATGCAAAATAAGCATTAAGAAATAAACATGAAAATGTGGGTGTGAGCAAAGTGTAGATAAAGTGTACGGTGGTCTGGCATGTTCACGCGGGTTGTAAAAAAACCTCTTTCAGTTTTTTTCGAAGAAAATAATTTTTTTGGATTTGTTCATGACCGACATAATTCCGTAAATATAAGACACATAGAAAAAAATATATTTTGAGTAAAAAATTTCTTTTTCGAAGTATTGTAAAAAAACCTTTTTCGATTTTTGTTCGAGTTTTTAATTTTTTTTGTGATTTTTTGTGATAGATTCATGAATTTTTTTTATTTAGTTTTTTTTTTTTAAATGTCTTAGCATACCGACACCACAATCATATTTCAAAATCTGAGTGTATCATTTGAACCGACACAATTACGACATAATTCCCATGCTTTTATTTTTCACGAATGGTCGTCGTTTCGGAAAATAAATGAAAAGCCTCGACTTTATGCGAAAAATCCTTTTTTTATTGAGCTTCTTAGGTACCGACATAATTTTTTTTAACCGACATAATTATAAAAACATAAAAAAATGACTTTTCAAAAATTTTCCAAATTTGTAGATACCACCAATTAATTTAATTAATGATTGTTATAGTTATGGTAGTAGTGTTTTCACTCCGTATCATCGCCTAACGTCATCCAGATGAGCTGAATTATCCAGATGACAAAATCCAAATATATTGTCTGACGCATTTACCATCAAAATACGCGGCACAATATTAAAGTATAAACTTTATACTAAAATTTGGATTAATAAAGAAATCGTCTGAATCTGAAAAATTAAATTTCCTTCTATTCAAATATCAAACATAAACTTCTCACATATCTCATATTAGACAATTTCAATTTTATTTTCATATGAACAAAGATTCCAATAATAACGCTGCGATCATTACAATGCAATAGAACATAACCATCACTTTTTCGAACTGTCAAACCAATGTCAGTACGTTGCATAGTTGTCAAACTGAGTGTCATCAATGAACTAATTCTTTGTGATATTATATACAATTTGCAATTGGAAATGTAATTTTTGCGTGAGTGTAAGAAAATTTCACATAACATAGTGATCAAAATTCGATTAATCATAAGTTGACCAAGTGACTAATTCAGTTAACTTCAAAGGAAAGTGGAATTTTGGCTCGTTGAGCAATTGTAAAACATTGTTTGCAAACATACAGACTGGAACCATGAAATATCACACATCACCATCAACGTCGCAAACAAATCTGTACAGCGATAGTTCTATTTATCGAAGTACATCGCCATTGCCACCGCCGGCCACAACTTATTGCCTGTCGGCAACAACAAAAAGCTATAAATATCTACGGAAAATTGTGAAATTCGATCAAATGGACTTTGAATTTGCCATGTGGCAAATGATTTATTTGTTTATATCACCGCAGAAATTATACAGAAATTTTAGCTATAGAAAACGTAAGTGAATGAATACACAATAAAAAAAAGGTAGTAAAGAAACTAATCGAAGAAATCGTATGATTTAATCTAAATTTCCAGAAACTAAATCTCAATTTGCTCGTGATGATCCTGCATTTTTGGTTTTGTTGATTTTGTGCCTATTTGGTAAGCAACAAAATACATGGTTTTCCATGAAATTACATCGTTTTTAATTTACGTTTTTATGTATGTTTTAGTTACGTCAATTGGATTCACATGGACATTAAATCTGACATTTGGCCAAACGTTGTACTGTATTGCATATATTGTTTTCGTTGATTTCATCTTGGTTGGCGTGATTGTGACAACATTAACATGGCTTTTTGCGAATCGATACCTACGACAAAATGCCAACGAGGCTGACGTTGAATGGGGCTACAGTTTTGATGTGCACATGAATGCATTTTTTCCGCCACTCGTTTTACTGCATTTTGTACAACTTATCTTCTTCAACAGTAAGTGTTTGAACAAACTCGAAAAATTGTTGACAAAATATGACGTTTATGTAATAAATTTTCTTTGTTTTTTCAGGTGTTATCAATTCAGAGTACCTTTTCTCCAGATTTTTCGGCAATACAATCTGGTTAATTGCAATCATTTATTATGTTTATATCACGTTCCTAGGCTATAACTGTGAGTATTTTATGAATATTGACGATTTTTTCCAGATTTTAAATGAATTTGAGTCATCATTTGTTTATTCAATTCTAACCAATTTGTTTTGTTGTTCACTTTCAGGTATTCCTTTCTTGAAAAACACTCGTATCATTTTGGCACCAATTCCAATCGTCATTCTATTCTTTGTAATTACTTTAGTCATCGGATGGAATATAACAATTACATTTGTAAATTTCTATCACTATCGAGTCCTGTAAAAAAAATGATTAAACACACCCAAATAAGTTTCTTATTGATTACTAAATGAACAATTGAATTAATAATAAAATCATCCTTATCTATATATCATGTAGACGCATTTATCTTATAAAATGATTTTGTGATTGTTTATTTAGTTGAAAATTTAACAAATGGGAAACTGGGGCACTTTATAGTATGATATTATGTAAGATAAAAGAGATGAGCATCTTAACAAAGGGGAAAAAATGAAAATGAAAAATTTAATGAGATTATTTCTTCTTGGAAGATGCAGCTTTCTTGCTGGTGGACGCTGAACTGCGACTGCTGCCAGATGAGCTTGCTTTGCTTCCTTTTCCGCTTCCGCCTGCTTTTGAGCTTGCGCCGCCTTTTTTCGATTTGATCAGTGTATCATTTTCCAGCTTATCGTCATCTCCGTCGTCACTATCGCTGAACTGTGCTTCACCATCACCCAACTCGTTCATATAATCTTCATCACTAGCGGCCACCTTCTTCTTTTTCGCAGCTGTTACGGTTGAATATGAATACGGTGCAATCTCTTTGTTATATGCTCGAGTGAGTGCGGCCTTAACACGACCATCAACTGAATCCCATTCACTCTTTTTACCGGGCCAAGATGTTAATTCGACCAGTGAATCAATATCTTCACGCAATAAACGATATTCTTTCATAACATTTAGTGACTCTTCAACTCCATCGTTCTGATCATCAATCATTGGCTGAACAATGTTATGCAGTAAGAATGGAGCATAATCAAGGCGGATTGATTCACGTGACGCACTCGTACTGGAAAGAAGAATAAGAAAACGAACTTGTTGAACAAAAAACTTCAGAAATTTGAATAAAATTGAAGGTACTCACCGTATGCGAGTATGATCATGAATTTCTTGTGCCATTCGACTGCGCTTCTGTGTTCTGGAATACTTCCCGAGCCATCCTGGAAAGTTGATTTGCGCTGTAATTTGACCAGACATATATTCGCCCGGCAACACCGAGCTGTACATCGCCTGAACCGGTAATATCGACCAGTTTTGACGGCTTCGAATGCGATTTTCAACCAAATCACCTAAACTCAAACTGTCGGCAGTCAATGCAACTTGTTCCATTGTTTTTGATCTGAATTCAAAAAAATATTCAAATTAATTATTGTTTACATTTTCAATTCGCATTAAAAACTTACTTTGGCCCATTTGGAACAACGCTCAAGTAGTTTTGTTGCACAAATAGCGGACCCAAACTGTAGTCATGGAAAAACAAATCGGCTTTATCGTTCAATGTCATCTTTTTGTGTTCTTCTGCGGAGAAAACTTTTCGTACGACCTCCCATGGACCGAGTCGTAAATCTTTCTTACCATTATCATTACGTAGGCCACTGCCTTCGGCATCTGGTTTAGCGCAGATCAATGACAATGAATTCAACGTTTGACGTACATCCTGATTTGTCGCCTGGATAACTTCTTCGATTGTTTTTGGTGAAAGTTTGACACCTTCTTTAAATAAAATCGACATAATAGCGCCTTTGATCTGTGGCAATTGTGGCCGAGCGAATCGCAAATCAAAACAGTAATTGACCAATGATCGCATCTTCTGGTGATTGCGATCATTACACATGCAAATTATTGGAATCGATGAAGACTTTATGATTCCAATCAATTCAGCTAGTCCACCACGATCTTCATTGCCAGCCATTCCATCGACTTCATCCATCAGCAGTACTTTCTTCTGCGTTAGAGTTTCATTGTGACCGTAACTGTAGCCGTGGAGTGTTTTATTTGCCACCAAACCAGCCACTTCATTTTGCAATAGTTTTTTGCTTCGCGTAGTGGACGCATTAAATTCGATCGTATCATATCCCAAATGTTTACACACTAAAGTAGCTGTAGTCGTCTTTCCAACTCCAGGCGGACCAGAAAGTAAGGCGGCCTTGAATGCTGCACCATCATCATTCTTTGCCCAAGGATTTGGACGGGCATGCTTCTTTTTGCCATCATTATTTTTATACCAGTTTTGCAACCATTTGATGAGCCTATGGAAGAGATTATCAAATTGTTTTTTTTTTTCAAACATTTGTGCCAGAAAAGAAACTCAAAGTATTTGCATCATTCTATTATCGATTGGCTGTGACATCGAATAGATTGATCCTATAGATATAACAGCGAACGAAATGTTCGGAATGTAGAACAATAGACCTATTGATTTATTTATGAACAAATGCTAAAGTCAATAAGTCGTTCGGAATTGTATCATAAAATCGCTGTGCACAAATAGCGCCTGTGAAAAGAAACTGCGAAAGAACCGCTGCTTCAACATAATTAAAATATATTTTTGGATTGAGTAAAAATAATTATCGCATACTTGTTAAGGTTGCTAGCGGGTCCTTGTTGACCGATGATTTCTTTAATGTCCTTCGGTTTGTACTTTTCCACCCATGGCTGAGGAATATCTTTGTTGATTTGTGGTGTAGATGGTGTGAATTTTGGTTCTACTGCATATAAAGAAAGTAAATATTAAGAAAAAAAATCACCCAAAACATAGCGAATGTTGTTACCTTCTGTTTCGACACGTTTTTCCTCTACTTTAACTTTTTTCGGTGACTCAGATTTTACCGGTGTGCGCTTGTCTTTTTTAGCATCTTTTGACGATTTCTTTGCTTCCTTTTTGGGCGATTTCATCTCTTCCTTCACCTTTTTATTGTGTGTTGGCTGTCCAGACTTCTCTCGAATCAAATCAAGTAAATCATCCTCTGATAAAATAGAAATTCCCAAATCTTCAGCCTTTGCCAATTTCGCCGGACCACTTTCCAAGCCAGAAACAACGTAATTTGTTTTTCCCGATATCGCTGTGGTGACACTGCCGCCCAAATCTCTTATAACTGCAGCCGCCTCTTCTCTTTCCATCGACTCGTAAACCCCGGTTAGAACAAATTTTAGACCAGTCAAACAATTCGGTTCACCTTTTGGTATTTCCTTACTGCCCGGTGCTGAGGGGCCGGCACGTTTTTGCATTTGCTTATACAATGCAGCGGCTGCACGACGTCTTTCAAATTTCTCTTGATCCTCGTCATAAACGGATCGATCAAGTTCGGATTCATCATGTGATTGCTTTGGTTTTTTGTTCGATGCTGGCGTTGCCGGCTTCTTCTTCGACGATTGATCACTATCCGAATCTTTCTTGCGGCCTTTTTTCTCTTCTTTCGATTCATCGGGTGTACGTTTTTCATTTTTCACCGGTGATTTCTTCTCCTGCTTAACCTTTTCTGGCGATTTGGTGTTCTTCACCTTCAATGGAATTTTCTCCTTTACCGGTGATTTTATCTCTTCTTTTACTTTGACGTCTTTTTTATTTAAGTCTTGTTTTGTCGGCTTTGGTGACAAGATCTCTTCATCAACATTCATCAATTCCATGTCATCGGTGTCAGCATCGAAAACATCAGCATCTTTGCTTTGTTTCGGTTTTTTCACTTTTTCAATTCGCTTAACGGGTCCATTGCCGAATGCATTTGATACATCGACCGTCTTCAGTTTTGCTACTTTACTTGCTATCGTTGTTTTTGTCTCTTTTGACACGATCGGCTCATCTTCATCGGACGAATAAATGACACGGCGTTTTTTTGCTCTTAATGCTTCAGAATTGTCTTTCGATTTCTTTGGCATTTTAACCTTTTCTTCATCACTGTCATCATCAAGCACATTTTGCTTCCGTTTTGGAGTAATTGCGCGTGCTGGTTTTGCAGCTACTGATGAAAAAAATGAACGAATATCCTATGGAATGCAATTTGAGTTAGAATACTTTTTTTTGTACTAAAATAATATATTTAAAACGCAATTTACTCACTTTGCTCATTGTTGAGTCAAACAATTTAATTGTATCCAAGGTCGATGTGAATGTTTATTTCGTCAGAATGTAATACGGCAACAATACAAATGCAATAAAAGTAAAATTCACTGACATAGCGTGTTTCTGAGCACAAACTACTTTTTGGCGCAATGTCCCTCAATGATTGTCTCTTTTCGAATAACACTAACAAACACACAGTGTTCGAATGACGTCGTTGTCGTCGTTGTCGCACTTTGTTTGACAGATGGATTGAGTTTGAAAATTTTCGTTAGAAAAATCCAGACAATATATTGAACTAACTGGTCAGTTGAGCTGACAGTACGTTAGCCAGCTAAATGGACCAAAACAATAGAAGTTATTGTTATAATGAACAATCACTTCTATTAAAACAAGAAAAGTGATTCATCATTAAAACAATAACGTCTATTGTTTTAGCCCATTTAGCTGGCTAACGTACTGTCAGCTCAACTGACCAGTTAATACAATATATTGTCTGGAAAAATCCAAATAATGATTGAAAAAGAATTTTTTCTCTTAAATTTTCTTTAAATAAATTCAATTCATTATTTTTTTAAATGAATGCGAACAAAATTACTTTCACATATCAAAAGAAAGTCAATTTTCAGTCGTCTTTAATTATGTCTTGTACTATTCACTGATTTTGTGTGTTTATCACGACTGACGTTAAATGCCATTTAACAGGTCAATAATATGTATTATTTCAGCACAAAATATAAATCATGCATGACAAAGTGTATTGATTGTTTTTCGTTGAATTTTTCACGAACTGACTCATTTTTCCATACCGGCTGATGCACAATATGATGAAATTTTCCAACGCAATCACAGTTCACTTTGCACTTATTTTTGGAAAAGTCATTAAATCAAAGTATAATTTATTATATGTGGTATTTTGAGTGCTTGGATTTTGCTAATTTTCCATATTTTCCATATTAACTCTTCCACAGTATTTTTATATCGTCATTTCATTAAAAGAATCCAAAAATTTGAATTGCGATTATCGAAAAACGCATCGATAAACGCACTGCAACGCATCAACTTACCGCATGGAACATATCATTTTGCATAGGTTTGTATGTGAACAAAATTGCCGTGACAGTGACATTTAAACACTTGTGATTTGTTGTAAATAATATAGTCAAGTAAAATCGAACGATGACCACAATTGAATTAGTCATATTTTGATCATTTTAAAATAAATTATTTTAAAAGTTAGATACTTTATATAAAAACTATCACAAAAATTGCTGAAAAATAAAGCGAATCCAACGACTTGGAATTTTCCATAGATAAAAAAAGTGCTATTCAATTAAATCAAAGCTGCCGTTGCGGATAGTGTCATTGATAAAGTAATTTTCACTCGAAATTTAACCAAATTCATTTGCATGATGAATCGACGAATACCGCCAATTGATTTATATGTCGCAGATGGTGTGGATCAATTAAATGAGCTCGCAGAGTTGAGTTCAGTGATCAAATCGAAACCAATTAATTTGTAAGTATTTTATCAAATTGAATGTTCACACCAAATATACGGTAATTATGTCATTATGTTGATAGGCTCTTCAACTCTGCCGCAAAAGTTTTGAATGAAGCTCAAAAGTTATACAGTTCGGGTGATGATGAAAAAGCATACGTTATGTACATGAAATACTTTACGTTAATCGAGATCATTCGAAAGAAGACCGACTTGAGCAAACATAAAAATGAAAAACGTCAATATTTGGGAACGAAACAAGAAATTGACAGTCATATGGATTTGTTGGAAAAACTAAAGCGTAATCTTGTAGAACGGTAAGGTTGAAAAATTATATTTAAAACAAATTTATGGATGCATTTCATTTTTTATACAGATATACCGAGAGACGGGAAAAATTTGTAGCTAAACAAAAGCAAGCAGAGTTGAATAAGGAAAATATCAAAACAAATGCGGTTGTGCCTAAACCAGTTTCGAAATTTATTTTGATTACTGATCTGTTTAAATTGATGAAAGAAACTAATCAAAAGATACTTTTGATAGACTGTCGATCGATCAATGAATTTGAAGCGTCGAAAATTAGATATGACAATTTGATCAATATTCCAGGAGAAGCGATTCTAAAAGGGTATGAAATATGGTTTCCCTTTATTCACTCGTGAAATCTCTTAAATGTCATTTATTTCTGTAGTTACACTGCTAACACGATGTTGAAAAAAATTGCGCCGCAATACACAAAGCTATTTGAAAATCGCGCTTCAATGGATTTGGTCGTTCTAATTGATGATGATACGAGTGAAAGTCAAAGTAATCTATCAAAACCGATTTGGATTCTGCGAACCATTTTACTGGAGGTAAAAGTCATTTAAACAATTAAAAAAGAACCGTGATCACAACAAATTATATTTCATTGACAGTGGGATCCAGATACGCATTATAAAAGTTTGCTTTTACTCCATGGAGGTTACAACGACTTTGTATATTACTATCCACATATGACGACAAATCCAAAGTATTCGCCAAAAACAAACGTGGAAACCGTTGAATTGGGTGACATTGAGTATCCGTCATTGAGTGAGATAAAAATGAAACCAAAACCAGACGAAAATTCATTTTCGTCTCGTATACCGAATATTGATCGGAGTAGTAAGCCAGCGTTTGGGCAAAAAGCGAATGAACAACAAAGGCCAAACAATCTCATTTCGATCAAAGAGCAAGAAATAATCTTCGATCAAATTCTTCAAAAAGAAAAGGAGGTCTTGAAAATTGGCGATGAATTATACAATGTTGTAAATGTACCGATCACATCAAATGACATAGATCCAAGTGATTGGTTCAATAAGCAAACCGAACTTGAGTACAAAATGGTTCAAAAAGAGAATGAATTGAACGATACAATAACTGGACTAAGTGCAACGACCATACCAGATTTTGAAGGTCAACTGGAAACACTTCAAATCAATTCGAATAATCCAGAAGAGTCTGAAACTCTCGCCCGAATCAATGCCAAAAAGAATGAACATTCCGAAAATACAAGGAAATTAGAAAACATCAGTAAAAAAATCGAATCAAAAATATCAGAGACCAGAGAGAAACAAAAAAGACATTTGCAGGTAGGATTTTGTTGAAAATGCACCATCTTTTATTCAAATTTATATTTATTTTATAGTCACAACTGGATGATGAAGAATTAATTCGTCCAAAGCAACCGGCGTTTGATCGAACAATAAAGCCATCGTATGACCAACCGACTAAATTTCCGCAAATACTCCGTGATTTCAGTCCAATTATGGGTTCATACGGTGATGTGGGAGCAACTGGACTAAAAAATCTAGGAAACACTTGCTATATGAACAGTATTATTCAGTGTCTATTGAATATCGAAGGATTATGTGGATATTTTCAAAAAGACGGATATTTAAGGCATATAAATCGGTAAGTAATCGCACCCTTTTTTCGAAATGTATTTTTTTATGATGATAATTTTATTCTGAATTTGTTTTACAGAAAGAGTAAAACTCATGGACAAATAACGGAAGAATTGGCCCAACTGTGTAAAGAAGTGTGGAGTGGAAAATATAAAAGTGTGGCACCTCGCGATTTTCGCAGTGTTGTTGGACAGGAAAATAAAATGTTTGCCAGCTACGAACAACAAGATTCTCATGAATTTCTCGTCATATTGCTGGACATTTTGCACTCAGAAATGCAATTTCCAATTGAGGATGTAAGAATTTATTTACCAATTATTCTGAAAAAAAAAATCAATTTTTTAAAAAAAATCTCTGTTTCTCATTGGCAGACAATTTTGAGCGAGAAATCGCCTAAAGCAGAGATAGCATGGCGAGAATTTTCAAAAAACATGCAAAGTATAATCCAAAGGTTGTTCTTTGGACAGATTCGAAGCACGCTAAAGTGCCGAACCTGCGGTTTTGAAAGTGCAACTTACGAAGGATTTTCGCATTTGAGCCTGGAGCTACCGCAGGATAATCGACAGTGTGAACTGTACGACTGTCTCGATTCGTATTTCAATGGTGAAAATATTGAAGGTTGGACGTGTCCCCAGTGCAAACAAAATCGAGGGGCCATTAAAAAATTGGACATTTCGAAACTGCCACCGGTTTTAGTAATACATTTGAAAAGGTAATTTACTTTAAATCAGGCATCACCATGCAAATGATTTATGAGATAAATTTTGGCACATTTCAATTTGGTGACATTTGATTGTGAATTCAATGTGTAGCTGATAATGTAGACATTCACATTTTTTTAGATTCCATGCAAGTTTGGATACAGCAAATACGTATTACAAGAAACAAAACTTTGTTCATTTTCCCATCAACGATTTTCGAATCACGGACTATATAACACCGTCGCTGCAAAAACAAAACCGATCATTGGACCAGTATAATCTTATTGCTGTTTCAAATCACTACGGTACTATGAATCGTGGTCATTACACTGCATTTTGCCGAAATACCAACTCAAAAGTGTATGTATTTAGATCCAAATTGATACAAATCTAGATTAAAATGCGATCAATTAAATTTTATTCTCTATTTCAGATGGTATAAATATGATGACTGCTATGTTACGCAAATTGGAAGCAACGATGTTAATTCAAGTGCTGGATATATTTTATTCTATTCACAACTTTGAGGAACAATAGTTTTTATTATAAAAACGAATGCTTAGCATATTTTATTCTATATTGATCGTCACTTTAAACGTTTGAAGCTGTTCCAGTGGACATAGCATTTACCTATTTATATATTTACAAAGAAAGTTTGCTTCAGCTGCTCATGTTAAAAGAATGTCTGTATTTTTTCTGTTATTTTTATTAATATATGGCATATTAAAGGCACTATTTTGGAAAACAATCAACATGTGTTTAATCTTCTTCGTCATATTCTTCCATTCCTTGGCTAGATTGTCCCGTAAATAGGTCCAGCTTTTGTTCATTGATCACATTCACGGGTGAATCAAATTGGTAGACTGTATTGGTTGGTTCTTGTTTTGGTGTTGTTTCATAGACTTGAGTGCTTTGTGCCAATGCTGACTTTAACTCGAGCTCTTCCACCTGACAGGTAAACACACAAGCAAATTTAACTCGGATTTCCTGAAAGTCTTAAGTTCAAACTTACCAGCAGCTTGTGGATGTGATCTTTTATCTTATGCAATGACTCTTTCAATTCCTTTTCCGTCTTCAACAATTGAATCTGCTCACGAATGATTTCGGCATTGGCAGGCGGAACTTGTTTCTTTTTTCGGGGAGGCATTTTGTGATTGAATTAACCCAAATTAACTTAAAATACCTTTTTATCACTTCGATATGATTTATTTCCTTTGGGTCTTTTATGTTGTTCGGAATCGAAACAACTTGTTCTTTCAAAAAATGAATTATAATCGTTTGTTCGTCGTTCAAATTCTTTTCACCGCGCATCAATTGTTTTGTTATTCATCTTATTTGACAGAATATCAATCAGTCAGTAGAAAACTGAACCGATACACATTTATAAGTTTATATGTATGTGTTCAATCAACGCAGCGTTGAAGTCAGTGGAATTTTTTTTAGAAACAAATTTTAATAAATTTATTTCTATTTATTAAACAAACACCTTTCTTCATATAACCTACATGTAAAATGAAATAATTGTGTCAAAAACTATGTTTCATAAAAAACAATCATTTCCTTTTAAACATTTTGGTTCCATGAATCAGTTGTGCGTTATTCTATCGAAGAAACAATGTACAAAGAGTATAACGCATTCGAATATGGGTGGCGACTGCAATTATGTGCATTGAAAGCTTTGTTTTTGTTTGTAATAAATTGACGACGTCATAAATAGACGACGACGGGTGTTTTTATTATGTCTCTATGGAATTTTGCTCAATTTGCACATTAATTTCACAAATTTTTATTCGATTCAAGTTGTAGTCACGTATTTCTAGTCAAAAAGATTCAAAATAATCAATCAAAAGAGCGTCGAATCAAAGAAATCGATAAGAGAAAAATGATAAATGCTGAAAAAAATATAAGTGATGCGGTTCCGGTGTTTGTACCGCCACGAAAGCGTCAGACATCGAAAAAGCAAAACGGTGTGCAAAATTATGTGGATCATATTGTGTGTGTGCAGGTGTGTAATTGCAAATAATACCCATCGTAACGTTGAAAAATAATTGCATTTTTGTTATTGCAGACAAATGACCGTAAATATCCGATCTCATCAAGCCTGGAAGATTTACTATCGAAAACGAATCAAGCTGGTGAGCGAAAACAATTGGCCAATTTCATGAAAGCGGCCAGTAAAACTTCGATTGATTGTAATCCAAAGAAATCATCCAACCATGATATACATTTGTCGATTGAAGATGTTATAAAAACGCAATCAATGTGCCGCAAATCGCCATCGGTGCGAACTGAAAGTCTTAAGACGGCTGCACCGACAAGCCGTTCCGAAGATAATTTGGACATAATTCGAACACCAAATGATACGGCACGATCTAAGAAGCGTGTGAACATACTCACTGCAGTCGATCATCCATCATCGAAGCAAAAACTATGCAGCTCAACGATAAGCATTGAAAATGAACACGGCGAATCAATGGAGGACTCAAATGAAGTGAATTTATTGAATTCGAAGAATAGTTCATTGGCACGTACCCGCTCTCCCGACAACTATCTCACCATGACCGGAACAATAAAACGTGGCAAAAAGAAAGGCCAATGCTTGGATGTGCAATTAAACATATCGCGCGATGAGTTGGAGAAAATCAATTCAACGGCTTTAAAGATGCAACAAGCAAATGATAAAGATGCAAAGAAATCATGTTGTTCATTGACGTCGGGAGTGCATATTTTAATACTCTCCTTGCTATCATTGCCATTTGTGATCGTCATCACCTCGATATATGCATTTTACATCGGCACTATCACTTGGTACAATATGTTCAATTTTTTCAACGAGGAAAAATCGTATTTGCATAAACTGGTGATGTCACCACTGCTTGTGATTGCATATCCAATTGGAATTGTGTTATGCACCATTGGGCTGGCAATTTATTCGGGTATCGTTCAAATCAGCACTAAATTCGGTAAATGGTCAAATGAAATTGCTGACATTGAAAAGGGTTTCTACGGATGGCTATGCAATTTTCTTCATTTGTCTGATTGTAGCCCATACGAAGTGGTCATACTCACCGAACTGAAGGCAACCGACGAAACGGTGCCACCAAACTCATCAACCGAAGAACTTTCAATCTAAAACCATAAACAGTTTATTCGTCATAAACACATGTGTATTTCAATCAAACATTCTGAAGGACTGAACAACAATGACTAAATGATAGTTTTTAGATCCAACGTACTGCTTATTTATATAAAAAAAAACCAAACAAGAAGACGTATTATTCAGATGTAAGGTATTGCAACTAGTCAGGATTATTTGCTTTTAGCTTTTTGTAATTTTATACCAAATACTCGTTTTGTATTTATTTGACTCTTTTTTTTGGGGATATTGTATCAATTTTTTTTAGACATTTAAGTGATATTTTATCGCAATAAACAATATCAATTTGTAATTTTCCATACAAATTTATTCGAATCAATTTTGTTTCAACTATATAATTATGTGCTTAAATTGATGAAATGTTTAACAAAAACATAAACAAATCATAATAAAACAACTTTATTCGCCGCTTGATTTATCTTTTGACGGTTGATTTTGTTTTTTAAGCACTTCTTGCAATTCTTGATCGATACGCTCTTTGGCCCGGAACACTTTTGATTGCAAATAGAATGAGCCGCCTTTTGATTTTTCATTCATATTGAAGAGGTGTTCATATTTTTCTTGTACTTCTTTTGCATCAATTTTATTTACATTTAGGATTTGCATTGCTTCTTCAAGCGTAATACCTGAAAAATAAAGCAAAAATGTGAAAGTATGGGCAAAACACATGATAGCAAAAGCTTCAACAAATTCTGTTCGAACATACCAGTTCTTGCATTAGCTGCCGCCCGTTGTCCACTCTGTGGTCCCGAGCCCGCTCTCTTTGCCGCTTCTTGTGAAGCCTGAATTTCCTGACGAAGCGCCTTGGCAAATGCCTTACCAACAGCTTGTGCTCCTAATATAACAATTTGTATGAGATGCCTGGCCATTATAAATTTTCTAAACACGTAATTCTTTTAATGCTACACTCGGTCCACAATGTCATCCAATCGATCCTTATTATATAATTGAAAAAAATGATTCTTCGAATTATTTATGGTGTATTAACACATTTTCGTCGCTTATTACGTATAGAAAATAATGATAAAACATAACCTCACCCTTTTCTCATAAATGTTTTGAACATTTGACATTGACATTTTCTTTATCACTCACATGACAGCTAATTGATCCGGTATAAAAAGTTGTCCGGTTTCGAATACGTTTAACACTGCGTTATTACTACACTGTTATTATTGATGGTTCTTTTTAAAATTGGTTCGAAAATTCTGTTCATCAAAATTGAACGAGACAGAGGCTGTGAAAAAGATGATTTAATAAAATAGATTTTTTTTTTTTGTATAGATTCTTTTATTTTCATACTATTCTCTATAAATTACATAAATACAATAGAATTTTCTCGTCATAAATTAATAATTACAATACTTTAAAGACTTTACATTGGGAATTTTGCTAATGAAAAACAAAGCTAATTGTCATTTAAATAATTTTGTTTGTTTGCATAAATGGCTTTAAAATGAAATGAATTTATGAAGAATTTTGTCATTGGTTATGCCCTCTTATAGTTAATTGTTTGAAACAGCATTTTGGATGTGATGATTTCAACCAAAACCTGGATTTGTGTGTTCGATAACACATCGTTTGCAATACATTTTAACCGCACGATATCCTTCGATGGAAATTTGACAATCTTGAATATTCAAATGCTGCAATCCACGACAATAATATGCGATACACTGAATGCCTCGATCGGTGATCATATCACAATTTTTTAAGCTAATTTTCTTCAAATTTGGACAACTTTCAGCCAACGCATGCAGTCCAGCATCACTAACATCACATTTTCCGATATCAAGCGCTCTCAATCGAGCACACGAATGCGCCAACATTATAATTGAGTCGTCACTAACCGCTTCACATCCGCGACAATTCAAGTAACGTAATTTATAGCATCTTCGTGCAATCACCTTTAATCCAGCATCTGATACTTGATCACATTTTGCCACAGATAAATATCGAAGCGTTGCTCCCAACTTTGCCAATTCATACAGTCCAAAATCCGTTATATTTACACAATCTGATACACTTAGTTCACGCAACGCCGTACAAAAACTTGGCACAAACTTCAATCCATAATCTGAAAATTATGTACAATGGGATAAATTAATGATTTTTTCAAATTAATATAAAAAAGTGGTCGATAAACGAACCTGTGATTTGTGTACATCGACGCAGATACAAGTAAACCAACTGAGGGCAATTTTTTACAATAGTTTTCAATCCACTATCGTCGATACCATAGCAATCGGTTAAATCTAAAAATTGCAATAATAAACGACGTGGGGGATCCAGGTGATGATTGAAGTCAATCGTTACGATTTGAATGCAGCCTGAAAGATGGCAAAAAAAGTGTTAATAGCATAAGTAAAGTAATTTTTTGAACAATGTCCAACCCACCTGTCACATCTAAATGTTGTAAATTTGTACATTTGGTGACTAATTGGAATAGAGCCGCGTTTGATACGTTGTAGCTCATTTGAATTTGAAGGTGAGTCAATTCCGGACAGCGTCGAGATAAAAGTTCCATTCCTTTATCGGATATACGACATCCATCACTTAACATAACTTTTTCGATTTCCGGACACGATACATTTCTGGTATAGTTGCTGAGACGTCGTACAATCGATCGAAGTGCTCGATCGCCATTAATACCTTCACCTATGAAATTGAACATTTATTAAATACATGACATATTCTTTCATGAACATAAATTTGTTCAAATATGTTTACCTTTAAGTGTAATTGTTTTCCATAGTTCTGGTCTCCATACCAGCGAATCAAAACGTTTGCACACTCTGGATACGTTGCTCAAACTGACGGTGTCAAGCCATGAGAATATTTTGATGCACACATCATCTGATAGCCGATTGAATATGTTGTCATTTTTATTACGTCCGCGTGCAGTGTGTGATAATGGTTGTGAATTGGTATTGGCCCCAGCGGATATAGATGGTGAGTTAAGTGTGTGGTATCCTTGATCAAAACTGGGTGAAAATCGTCCCAGTCTCGATGAAATTCCATCCACCAAAATGTGACTGCCATTACTAGACGGTATCGATGGTATTCTTTGATGATTGCTTAAATAATTGTACGCATTTCGAGCAATGCTCATTGCTGGTGAAAAAAAAAGGTTGGTGTTAATGTAATTTATTTTGCACTTTTTTGTATGTTTTCACTCAAATCTCTTTTACAATTTCATTGTCATAGCAAATATGATTATGGAACTTACGCATATTAACCGGTGATTCTTGTGATGTACGTTCCAGTAAATATCGATCCGATTCACTAGTTTCACTCGGGCTGGATGGTCGTTGAATGAACCGTGTTGGTCTTCCTAATTTCAATCGACTGTCACCGTACTCAAAATCAAAAGACCGTTCAGTTTTCGCAAACGGATACGTACTAATCCGATCGGCTGTATGTGCATCATGTACAAATAGCGATCGCATTTTATTTTCCAAAAAGTACGGTTCGCCACAGTCAATTGTTTGATTGTACGTGCTCATCGCCGATTTCGTTCGACAGTTTCGCATTAGTAGTCGATCATTCCGTTTATGTGCAATGTTTAAAATATTTTCATTTGGTTCGCTATTGTCTTCACTTTCCTTTTGATGGTAATTCGATGCACTGTCCGATTCTCCGGCTGTCGATAGACATTGCAATGGATGTCGATAGATATTTACATAATCGCTTGTATCATTATGACTATGATTGATTGCCGAACTTAAATGTGACACATCTTCTGTGGATTTCATTGAATCGTCTGTTTCGTGCATTGCCGAAAATTGAATTAATCCATCCGCACCAATGTTGAGTATGGGCGATTTTCGTGACGACATTTGATAATCATTTGGATTTAGTGGACTTGAGCTAAGTGGATGCCGGTATTGATGTTCCGATGGTAAATTATGGCCCAACGAAGCCAACGGACACTCAATCGGCGGTGCACGTCGATGCGACATCGTATTTCACTTTGGATTAACTCTGTTGGAAAAATCGAAAAAAAAAACGAGAGAAAAATGCAAAGTAATTAATATTTTGTTGGTTTTGTAAATACCATGGAATTTTTCTTTAAATTCAACTTCTTGTTCTGTTTCAAAAGTCTCTTAAAATCTAAATGGCACTTGAACATTTTAAGAATGTAATTTACAATGGCTTCGAATTCGGCGTATTTCATTTGCGGTTTGCTTTCTTTTAAAACTTCAAGTGTTCGCTCACGAAACAATCATTCTCCCCAAAATGATTAATTGACGCAACTTATTCAAGACAGACAGAGAAAGACAGAGGGATAAAGAAAACTGAATAAAAAATGACGAATTCAAATAAGAGTTCCGATCGTATCACGATTCAATGATTAAGTATTGGTGAAGCGAAAAAAAATACACTATTCGAAAACTCATTAAAACTTTCATAAGTTTGAATCAATTGACTTTTGACTTGGTACACGGCAAAGTAGCAATAGAAATTTAATCAATTTAAAATATGAAATTCGTTGTGACGTCTGTACAATTCAATGGTCACCAACCAACTGGCTAAGGTAAAAGAAACAATAAAAAAATCAATAGGTCGATTCTTGCGGCACTCGAAACATGACAAAAAGCTGGATGAATGATAAAACGAGAGAAGCAAATGTGCATGTCGCTGTAAACAGCGACTCAATTAGAATAATAAATAAATTTTGAATAGGGAATCAAAATGGAACAACAAAACATTTAATAAACACCGATCACACCCGATGTATCGTTGCGATAAGTGTTCTCATCTAGCGTATGATTGGTGTATCTTACATCGATGCTCGCTTCCACATCAAATAACATAAAATTACATCTGTATACTTGGGATTCCGTTTGCTTTATTTTGTTTTCATTTCAATATTTAAAATTTATGAATAAGAAAAGAAAAAAAAGGTAAAAGAAAGAGAAAGACTGTTATTACTGTTTCTTCTTCATTCTGAATAAAGATGAAAATGAAGCAGCGCGACAACGGCAACTTTTCGATGGTTTTAAACTTGTTTTTGAGTGTTTCAAAACGAACAAAAAAAACTACAGCAAGCAACTCTCGTTGGTTCGAAACGATTTAAAAGCCTAGCACTCACAGTTGGATTAGTAGAAGTGCCATGGCATCAAGATATAAACAGCAACATCGCTCATTTATACTTGAGTGCTAACAAGTTTTTTTTTCGATCGCTGGCAAGCACAAGTGTTAAAATTATACCAAATATCGAATGGTAATGAGACCGATTTGTGAACACCACAATATTACACTCGCATATTGGTCGCGCGCTGTCAATGTCTCGCTCGCTCACACGCTCGCATTCAAAGATTTAAGCTGAAAAAATATTAGCACAATTTCAACATGATGTGCGGCAATGTGACCGATGAATTGGCGACAGAGGGAAACTGACTGAGCGTGAAAGAGAGAAACAGCTATAAATGGCTTTTGACCAGTGGTAAAAATGAGCGTAAAATGTGATAAAAATAAAGAGTCTTACGGGAGTAAGACGAACTTTTCCGCACGGTGGTATTTGCGTATTTTATTAAGCAAGTTCAAAATAATATTTGTTCGATTTTTCAAGCCTTTCAAGCGGCGTAAAGTTCGAGACCAAAAAAACTCAACTTTGGCATCGAAATATTCTTTTATTTAATAACAGAAGTACTCGAGAAAAGATTTTTCACACTTTCATGATGAACCCATTTGTACGACATTTGAAAGTATTTCATTTTCTAACAAAACAATAAAAAAATATGTCTGACGTTAATTTTGCCATAAAAATTATTTTTGAAACACTTTTCATAACTAACTTTACTACCTTAATGGCGTGAAACTTTGTACAGGTTATTTTTTTCACAAAAAAATAACATTTGGAGGGTTTGGAGAAATTTCAACCAAAATTAAGAGTACCTCCCATACAAAATATTCGTTTTTGAGCCAAAAATTGAAAGTTTTGTATGGGAGGTACCCCTAATTTTGATTGAAATCTCTTCAAACTTTCAGAATGTTTTTTTTTGTGTAAAAAATAGTCTGTGTAAAGTTTCACGTCATTAAGGTAGCATACAGGCATGGCTCTCATACAAAAATTCAATTTTTTGAGATTTTTTCAAGGAAACTGTATCAAAAATTGATTGTATCTCAAAAATAACCTCGGATTCGGTTTTCTCGTGCCAAAAAACCCCCCAATACATATTTTTGGGTGTTTAAGTCTACATTAAGTATGACTTTTGGATGAAAATTGGACTCTTTTTCATAGGTATCACTCCAGGCATGGAATTTTTTTCCATCAACCAAAGTCGCTCAAAATCTGATGATTTCTATTCCTGGGGACCCCCAATCATCCCGTGAAGTCAGATTTCAAATAACTTTTCTGGGTGGTGAGAAAATCGATGGACAAATTTTGCGTACGGCGGACAACGTACGACGTACGACGTACGACGTACGACGTACGACGTACGACGTA